AATCCCCGCTCCCCCGCACCCTTTTCTCCCAATGTGGGTAATCTTATTACTTTGCAGAATAGATCAAATGTATTAGGTTTGTTCCCTTACAAAAGATAACGGTTATTTTGGAATTCTTTATGGAAGCTTTCCAGACGGAGGGTTTGGAAACATTTTAGAATAATAATGTTATCACTCAAGGTTGAAAAAAATATTTAAAAAACAAACCCTAACAAGTAACAACAACAGTAACAACAACAAAATGACTATTTGTGAGGCAGCGTGGTAGAATCAGGCTCTCGTCAATTTTTTGGCATATTCAGTTATTGGTATCATCTTAAAGCTTGTTCATTTGTCTTTGTTTGGATGAAAAAATGATCCACCTATCTTCAATTGAAGTGGAGATTTTCTGGATTGAAGGAGGTGGGGGTCACCTGGTTTATGAGGTAAAATTAGCAAGAAAATGGCCGCGAGAGCTTGGTAAATTCCAAAGCTGGAGAGTCCATGGAAACTGTAAATGTATAATTGTGTGCCTTTAATCAACGTTTCCGGTGAGATCCTCCAAGGAATGTGTTTGTGATGGACATAAACGTTGTTCAACCAAAAACCAAAAAAAAATTTAAAAAGTTGCTGCGCTGGGAAAAAACTGCTGTTTTCTTCTATTTCATTATTTTGACGAGAGCCTGATTCCACCACGCTGCCTCACATTTGTTCAACGAATGGCTGGCCTTCAATAGTGGATATTTTTAAAACTTCTCCTTCTCCTCCGCTACCACCTCCTTCTACTAAAAATCTCTTAAAACTCCTCACCTCCTCCTCTAAAAACTCCTCTTTTCACTCTTCATCCTCCTCCTTTGACTCCTCCTCCTCCTCCTGCCGCTCATCCCTATTCATCAACATTATCTTCATTGTAATTTTCGGACTTTTTTTTTTAGACTTAAAGGATACCTAAAAATTTTGTACAGTTACTCAACGAATCATCCATCAGGGTTCATCGGGAACGTAATCAACACAAATTATGGAAAAGGCAAACCGACCCACCCATAAGTTCCATTAGTACACAGATTGTACTAGATGTCTCCATCTGTCATTAACCCATCTCTAAATACGCGCGTTCAACGACCACTTTGAGCACAATAACTAAAACGTCTCCGGGGAAATACATTTTTTTTCTGGTATCAGAACTCCACAAAGAGATATCTCTCTACATTTCTTTTGCTAGGACACTAATCAGGAATGCTATTAAAAACTTTTCCTAGGGTGGGTATTGATCGTGTTATACACTCGGCAAGAGAGGGGTAGGGCGGGGAAGGGGG